GTTTTAAACAAATGATATTATCTACACTAGGTAGTGAGATAATGGGTTAAGTTTCATTATGAGCTAGCAATAATATGGTTCAAATTCATCTTTTAGCGAGAATCAAACTTAAGACTTCTCACTTACAAGTGAAGAAGAATATCACTAGACCGTAGTACTAAGTAACAATAAATTTTCAAATTAATAAAAAAGAAAAATGAGGAATGAAAACCTAATTTATCATTAACTTTCTACAAACCCATTATTAATAAAATATTGTTAGGGCGCGTGAGAATTCGTAACCTACAATTCTAATGGACCATTGCAACAAGCTAGGCAAAGTTGCAAGGCTTTACAACATGAAAACCAAGTTGAAGTCACATTTAAAGTAAGCTCAAAACAAATTTTTCATCTAGAATGTCTTCTCATTTTTACTATGTTCATCTCAAGTATAATCAACATTAACACAATAGTACTCCATTCAATGTTCAAAATTGTCATTCTATTGTTGACTAACTTTTTCTAAAAGTTACAAGATAAAGTTAGAGCTGGATTGAAATTACTTCTCTATAGAACATTCATACTCTTAAGTGCTCTTTAAGTGCTTTGATAGAAGTGTTTTATTAGAAACACGAAACACTTTCAAATTCTTTCTGATCCTAAATCAATTTTAAACTTTTTCTTTTGTACTCAAATATATGCAGTAAAAAATATTTGTTGTAAAAAATATTAAAATAATTTTAACCTTTTTAGAACAATCTCAAACATGCTCTTAATGATTTTTACTACCTACTTTCAATTTGCTTTTAACATTATAATTCAAGATATATACAATGTTTAAAATATTCATGAAATTGTTGATATTTCCGTTGAAATATCCGAAAAATCAATAATTGATATGGAAAGAAGGGGTGAAACACAAACCTATATCGGCGAGAGATAGGAGAATTAATGATATCAATGATATTTGTTAGGAATATAATATCTATGGCTGTGATATTGACAAGTGTCATTAGATTACATAGGCAATTATAAACTGTTGTAATAATTATAGTTTAACTTGTAAGCTGTTATAAGTAGGACATATACTAAGGTTCTAAAGGTGTGGCAGTTGGTCGAAATGAAATACACTACCTTTCTTTCTTCTTCTCTAAGAAATCTCTCTCTCTCTCTCTCTCTCTCTCTCTCTCTCTCTCTCTCTCTCTCTCTCTCTCTCTCTCTCTCTCTCTCTCTAGTTCATCTTCTCTCTGATTTCTACATTCTGTGATTGATTAATCTTGGTCTACAAAACTTACCACTTCATTACACAAATTTTGCCGAAATTTATTGTAAATTTCGAACTTTTAAACATTTTTTGAGAAAATTTTCTCTAATATTGACTAAATCTGAATGAGATGATATACACACTCCATTGCAAATTTTCATAATTTCTGTCGAAGACAATATATAGCGATATCAATACATCCATCAATATTTCTATAAATTTGTATATCAATATTTCCACCAATATCAAATTTTAAACGCCGGATATATATGAATGTTTGAAAGCAGCTGCATGGATTATACGTACACTCCTGAGTGAACCAAAGATTAAGCACTTTCATGGGCAATCGTATAAGCTCCTTAAGTGGGTTTTTGTTTTTTCCCTTCCTGTCCTTATATGGCCTGAAGATGTTTGACCTTACCGGGACCCAATTCATTGCCATCCACTTCAAGCCAACGCTTATCCCACGCTCCAACATTTGATGTTGCAGACACGCAATAATATATATTTATTTATGTTTTTATACTCTAGCATTAGTATTTTATAGGGGTGCAACTCAGACAGGTTAGACGGGTTGGAAGGTCAATCCAATCCTAACCCAACTTTTACCATTCGGGCTTGAGTTGGGTTTTAATCAGGTTAGGGTTGGACATGGGCGGGTTCAGGTTGCCCAACTTTTTCAAAATTAAAATTCAATTCCGCAAATTGTATCCGTTATAAAGTTAAACCAAATATGAATGTTTCAACCATGCAAAGTTTGAATTAAAATACAAGAAATACCAAAGCTAGTACCAAAAGAAAAGAAAAATAAAAGAAGGAGAGGAACACTTCATTGTCCAAAGCTAGAATCAAGTCTCTGTAGAGCATGAGACCCCAATGCCAAAAGCTTCAACAATATCAGCTACACCTATAAATGGAATTGTACAAAGTTTTATTTCATTATAAAAATTCTGAAAAAAAAAAAAATTAGGTGTAGCACTGCAAAGTAAGAAATAGTGTAAAACTTACTTAAAGTTACCATCTATCTTCAAATCCAAAACTGCAAGAGGAAAAAAAAAATTGCTTTACCGAAGTAGGATCGAGGTGACTAGTACAGAATCATGGCAGATTTTCTTGCACCCCCTGCAAGCTTACACCACTATAAAAATCCCTCATTGTGCGTTCACCGGAAATATCAACGCTACAATTCCATACAGGATATCACCAATAAAATTTGAACTATAAATAACTAGCAAGGAACATTGACAAAGAGAAAAGGCATCATGGATATAGTATTCACACGTCAAGAATAAGTCCAACATCACTCAGGCACTTCAATGAAAGGGTTCGGGTTGATTTGGGCGGGCAAATGATCAACCCAACCCAATCCAATCAATAAACTGGTTGAAATCGGGTTGGGTTTGGATGGGTTATAACTAAAAAAAAAAAACCCGCTTGTTCGGGTTTAAAGTCAGGTTGGGTTCGGGCGGGTTCAGATTGGCCCAACCAAAGTTGCACCCCTAGTATTTTATGAGCTTTACTACATTACATTGGCCTTTTATCCCTAAGCATAATAATGAGAAAATGTTATATTCATGAAGTTGCCATTTATATATTTTGTATAAGTTTTTCTTTGACATTTCCAACTATAAGAGATTTTTCAATGTATGTAAAACACGGAGCGATATCATTAAAATTTTGTATGGTGACAAGGAACTAGGTGGGGCTCGGACAGATCTGAAAGGATTAGGAATGTTTTGTTGGCTTAATCGATTATTGTGGGTGGGTTATTTAAAGAAAAACCAAGGGTTTGTTTGTATGAGTTTCAGCCGCACATCGATTGATTGATTATCCTGCAACTCGATCGATTGTTTAACTTTTAGAGTTTATGCTTAGGGGCATAGATAATTGAAACAGTGGTGGAGTTTGGTTGGAGAGGTTCCGCAATTGGAGATTCCATTGGTGGTCTTTTTATTTTGAGACTTTAAGGCATGCCATATAGACGCCACACATGCACTTTTAAATACATATCAGCATATTTGACAATTTTTATGACAGAAAAGACGAAATCAAAGTAAAATCGAGGAAATTTTGAGTTTCAAAAAGTAAAATGACGACTTTTCAGTTCTAGAAGGAAAATTGAGATTAAAATCGAGTTTAATAGACCATAGCAAAAAACAACCTTAGATTTTATATCTCTTACGGAAAACTGTCTCATGATCACCATCAATGTTTTATTGCTTAGTTTTGTGTCACTCTAAATCAAGAAGATAGTAACTCTTTAACCTGATGACATGTAGTGAACTGTTAGATCTTTAACCATTTAATACCATCTTAGGGAACTTGTAATCCTTATTACTGTTAAATGCACTTGAAAATGGGGGATTCTTTTTTTTTTTAAATGATATTATCTACACTAAAAGGGAGAGAGTTGAGTTTAGCCTCACAATGGGCTAGCAGTAATTGTGGTTCAAATTTGTCTTTTGGCGAGAATCGAACTTAAGATTTATTACTTACAAGTGAAGAGAAATACCACTAGACCGGTTACTAAGTGGCATAAATTTTGAAATTTTTGGTATAAATTTGTTTGTTTTCTAAAAGTTTAAGGAGAGGCGAGGCCAAGACATACTACAAGTCTTTTTGAGGACTTACAAAGAGGATTTAGACATTTTCTTGGTTTTTACAAATCATTCACCAAGATGGATTGTCGGCAACAGGACTTGAACCTAGACCTCGATCTAGCAAAGAGAACGATTTTTATCAACTCAATCAACCATTGTTGGCAATTTTTTTTTTTTTTTGATAAATTTCAATTTTTTATTTTATTTTATTTTATAAATTTCAAACACATTTTACGCTTTAAAATGTTTATTCTTGTAGTATAAAAGAAAGACTAATGCTAGAGAGACCAAATTTAGAGTAATGCTAGGGAGACAAAGTTTGGAGACTAAATTTTGAAAACTAAATGACATGTAATTGATTTATTACTTAAGTGTTGATATACGTGCTCATTTGTATTAGTGACATATCTTTTAATTTGTAATTTTAGTCTTCATAGCATTACTCCCAAATTTATAGATAAAATTTACTTAACTAAATAACATGGAAGTTGATAAACGTGCTCATTTTTATTTGTGACACATCATTTAGTTTGCAAATTTTGTCTATAAATTTAGTCACCCTAGCATTAGCCTAAAAAAAAAAAAAAAGGTAATGCTAGGAAGACTAAATCTGTAAATTAAATTTTGTAAACCAAATAATATGGAAATTAACGATTCAATTATTACTAAATAATTGATTAACGTACCTATTTCTTATTAATGACACATCACTTAATTTGTAAATTTAATTTCTCTAATATTACTAAAAAAAAATAGAAACAAAATAGGTGTTTGTGTTTACAAGCGCCTGATGCGTGCGTATAAATGGAAAATGGGTATTGGGTTGGTGCAGACAGAAAAGATTATATAAGGGGAAGAGTGGAGCGGCCAGCAGAAGGCAGGAGGAAGGAATAGTAAACATATCACTTCCAAAGGGGCCACCCCATGTGATTACTACCACCATACACACACACCCCATTTCCTCCCTTCTCTCTTGTTCTCTCTCTCTCTCTCTCGCTCTCACATTTTCGTAGGTGAGTCTCAGTCATATACTCGTTCATCCATCCGTCCATCCATCCATACTTTTTACGTCCCATCACCAAACGCTCCTCTCCCTCTCTCTCTCTCCCCCCCCCCCCCCCCTCTAAAACCCTCTTCTCACTCACCCAAACAAACCACCCCCCCCCCCCCCCCCCCCCCAAACAAAAAAAAAAACCAAGGAAATTCCCGTGAAAAGAGTTTCGCAGTATATTAACACCACCATTCTCTGAACCTGATCACCCCAGATTTTCAACCCTCACATGGCGGAGGGCAGAGAGAGAGGGACAGAAACAATCCACAATTCAAAGGTTCAGCTTAGAAACTAGAGAGAGAGAGAAGAAGAAGAAGAAAAAACCAAAAAACCTGTATATATAAAACACCCAGTTGAAAAGTATTTAGCAGAAGAGCCAAAAGAATTAGACAAAGAGAGAGTAATTTTATTACACATGGATTCTGCTTCAGGTGGAGCCGGACTGCCCGACGCGAACGTCAGTAGCTGCGAGGGTCCGTCGTCTGCGTCAAGGTCGGCAGCCCCGGCGGCTACCTCTGAGCCCTCGTCAGCATCTCCGGCCCCGCCAAGTCGCTACGAGTCGCAGAAGCGGCGGGACTGGAATACCTTCCTGCAGTACCTCAAGAACCACAAGCCTCCGCTCACGCTGGCCCGCTGCAGTGGGGCCCACGTCATCGAGTTCCTCAAGTACCTCGACCAGTTCGGGAAGACCAAAGTCCACGCCACCGGCTGCCCCTACTTTGGACACCCCAACCCTCCCGCCCCATGCGCCTGCCCGCTCAAGCAGGCGTGGGGCAGCCTAGACGCGCTCATCGGACGGTTGAGGGCCGCGTACGAGGAGAACGGGGGACGGCCCGAGTCAAATCCCTTCGGTGCTCGAGCGGTGCGGATTTATTTGAGGGAGGTGAGGGAGGGACAGGCTAAGGCCAGAGGAATTCCCTACGAGAAAAAGAAACGGAAACGGTCGACCGTCACTGCCACTGCGGTTGTAGGGAATGTGTCGGTGGCGTCCACTCAAGGCGTCGGTGGTGATGGTGATGGCGGTGGCGGTGTTGATGGTGGCGGTTCAAGTAACACCGCTGCTGCTGCTGCTACTAGTACTGCAGTATAGGTTTCTCTCATCACTAATTTCCATCTCTCTTTTGTTCTCAATTTTTTTTTAATCCTTCTATATTTATATCTTCTCTCGTTTTAATTGTGATTATGAACCATGTATATCAGGCGATTCTCTTATAATTGGATCGACCAACCCCATGAACAAAATATTTAGGAATTTCCATCTCTTACTAGTTAATTCCCAAGCGTATCTATTGATCTTCGTCATCATCTGCAGAAAGTGTTGTCCCATAGCACAAAGTGAGAGTCTGCATGCTCATAGTCGTCCTCATTTTAATTTTGTTTTGTTAAATCATAAACATAGTTATAAAGAATATGCAAACTATTGCAAAAACAATCTCAACTATTATTGAGACTTGGATTTTATGATCATTGCTGTTTTGCAAATGATCATAGTGATAAACAATTAACTAGTCCAATGTTTAATAATATTATTTATTTGGGTTTTCATATTCTTGTGGATATTTATGTTTGCTTTGATTAAAAAACAAGTACTACTGTGAAGGTCACAAGTCATGGAATTTTATGTAACGGTGTGTTGTATATGATTTTTGGTCGTTGAACTGTTGCTTAGGTGCCTGCCATAACACCGGAGCACAGTCGAATTTTCGCACGTCATAGGGAAACCAGGTTACTGGCAATAGGGCAAATGCATATCTGGTACTGGTAGTCCCGGCTTCTTTGCGTTGATCCGCTGGGATTCAAACTCAATTAATCGTTCTATATATATCTGTCTGTGTATATATCTGATTCTATGTGTTATCGTGCCACGTGCGCTTCTGATTCACTCATTTTTTGCACTTTCAGTTTCAGGTGTTTTCTTCCCCTTTATATCTCTCTCTTCAATCTAAGATTTTGCTTTCAGATTTTTAAGATTAATATTTAGGGTTTTTTTTGGTATTTAACTCTCTCGTATGAAAACAACATTTCTTTTTGTGATGAAAGCAAACAACAAAATGATACAGGCTACAAACTTACAAGCACCAATAAGAAGGAAAAAATGGTAAATAAACAACACATTGTGATTGCTGCTGTTATTTTATTTGGAGTAACCTCCACCTTGGTATGAAAACGACCACTAGCCAAACACTTTTGCTTCTCATTTTATTTTATATGTATATATTTAAATATATATATATATATATCTTACTATATCTCGTACAAATTATATATTATATATATGTATATGTACAATATAGTTTTATATTGGTTTACATTTTGTTATAATAGCAGTAGACCCACCAATCACTCAAAAACAAAAGCCATTTCTGAATTTCAAAATTAGACCCCCCATAATCCATATCCAATGGCAAGGTCATGATGCTACATTATTGTCCAATTGTGATGGTGCTAAAATTATTTTCTACTATTTTTAAACTTTGTTTGGTTCTCTTTTCCCTTGCTTTATTTTTTCTTATTTATAAACAAGATTGATCCTTATGCACTCAGCAGGTGCTTTTCACTTTCTGGCTTTTTGAAGAATCGCAATTGCGATTGTCCCCTCTTCTTTATTTTTCACTTTCTGTTTGCCCTTTTGCTCACTCTTTTACTTCCCCTCTTCACACGTTGGAAGCAATTTGATCCATTTCTGACAAGGGAAAAGAAGACTACTCTTACAGAGAAATAATATACTCACTCCTCACAGTGAAACAGATTGTAGTTCAAGTAATGCTAGAGGAGTTACAATTTTCAGTAACTAATTATAAGTACAAGTAAAGGCTTTAGGGTTTACATGATATGATCGACTAATATGAACAGAATATTATTTTGTTTTAGATTGGACTACTTTTCCCTTGCAACCACTTTTGTTACGAATTGGATTGGGCCATTTCATGTTCCAAATATAACTTTAGCCCCCAACAGTAAATTTTTATGTACTTTTTGTTAGCATCGATTCGTTGAGCGGTGTCATGGTCAGGGGTGAATCTTCTTAAGGGCTAGAGGGGGCACGCCCACCCCACCCTAAGTTTGTAGGTGAGAAAAATATGGTCCAAGTAGGAATTAGGGTCCCATTTAAATTGTAGTTGTCTTCCGAAGCTCGATACGATATTGAATAAAAATTAACTCATCATCACCATCAACTTTATTATTCACTATTCATTCAAAATCACTCGGATATAACACAAAAAAAAATTAGTTGTAGAGCTGCCAGCTCGGGAAGAAGAAGAAGAAGAAGAAACAGGGGAAATTCTATTTATGTTCTAAGGGAAATAATTATGAATTTTTTAAAATATTGACCTAAAGATACAATTAAAATGAGGCAAATGACAAGGATGTACGCTCAACACACAATGTGTATTGCTTTGCAAAGTACTTGACAAAATGCCTCCATAAAAAAATTGGTCTTGCGCACGCTATTTTTGAGATTTCACAAGAACCTACATCCGTCACTGCTTAGTTTTGCCCATCGTAAACTAATTTTCTAGTTTCGCCCTAGGTTTAACTGATAAATAGCTTCGGGATTTAAAATTGTAGAAACACTATTGTAAGATAAACTAGGAGTCAGAAAGATGGAAGCATACATCTAGTTTTGGGCAAAAGTAAATAAAGAACTTGCTAAATCTCTTTTTGTTTCGATCGAGAAGTGTATTTGAATGCCATGTATATGCTAAAGCACGTGGGGCAGAGAATTCTGAGCGGAATTTAAGTGCAAAAGGAGAAATGTTCACAAGAATTCGATTGTAGAAAGAGAAAACCCTCTTGGCAATTGGCATTTGCAAGCTTCTGATGCATTTCTTTTTTTATTTTATCGGTATACCTATTGGCATCATATCATTCATCATATGGTCCTTTCTCAGTCTTTTTATTTAGAGAGAGAGAGAGAGAGAGAGAGAGAGAGAGAGAGAGAGAGAGAGAGAGAGAGAGAGAGAGAGAGGGCGGGCAATTGGCTTGGCATGGCATGGGAGGGTGATGTTTTTTAAGCACATGCAGGCTGCACCGAATGGTCTTGGCCGTCACTACTGAGGCAGTCGGCAGTATCGTATAGTATACGTATTTATGTCGATGCCATATATAAATACGATTATTTGAGATATATCTTTTGATGTCATAAGGGTTCCGGTGATGAAATGAAGAAATGTCTCTCGCCAAAAGATTAAGAAATCTTACAAGGGCTTATTAAGATCATTCTTTCTAGAATGTAGAATAGTTGGGTGGAATTTCAACTTTTTTATGAAATCAAAACAAATTAGCTTACATTTAAAACTTAAACGATCATACACCCTCCGCGTCATTCAATATGTATTTGTTAATACAGAGTCCTTTTCCGATCCCTAGGAACAATGTTGGCCAAGAGAAGGCCCGACTAAGGCCCATGGAAAGGAGAAGACCAAGTCTCAAAGATGAAAGGAAGACCCCAAAGGCGCATGGGGATAGAAAGGGATTTCGTCGAGCACTATAGCCGACTGTCAAAGGCTCAGCTCGATTAGGTTACATAAAGTATTAGCATGTGGGTGAACTGATAACTTTATGGTACGTGGGTAGCTCTAACAATTGACAACTAAAAGTCAGTAGCGAAAGACCCAAGCTGGGACAAAAAATGGGTCCGGAAAGTGGCTCGGCAAGATCTGGTTGAGTAATCAAAACCGATCGAGAGAAATTGTCTACTTTCTCTCGAAAGGTGTGCATCTAATTAGACACCCATCACTTCACCGCCGAATGTTGAACTGGTAGTGTAAAGGTGTCAGTGAGTTCACCTACACACAGAGGCGCAATAACTGCTCGATGGGAGGAACCCAAGGAATAGGGGTTCGCTAAAGGCCTATATAAAGGGGTAAAGGTCCCAGTAATAGGGGTCCGACTATGTTTGAGAGAAAAACATATGTATTTTACTAGCGTTATTTTTACTTGCAATTAATAGAATTTGATACTTCACAGTGAATGTAAGGGGTGAACCACTTATATTTGTATCTTTTTCATTTCAGTCCATATCTTAAGCCCAATCTAGGGTTTGAGACCTTTGACTGTTTCACTTATAGTTTTTGAGTCCACTAAGATACATCTGGGTTTGACTCATAAATTTTGAGCATTAATAGTATTCTTCATGTATTTGGCTTGTGTGTGCTATACGTGTGAGGGGTGTAAGGGATTTGTAAGATGTCATCAATCAAAAAAATTAAGAAGCCTTACAAAAGTTAATACGGAGTTGCTGCCCGTCGCCGTTGCCAATTAATTTTAGGCGTTTTTATTATTTTAATGGCTAAGTACATTTTACACTCTCTAGGTTTAAGGGTTTTTTTTTCAAAATTCGTCATTAGGTTCTATTTTTCCCACATTACATCCTGAAGTTTTAAAATTATATCAATTTATAGTCTTTTTGAACATCTAATCCTCTACTAAATTTATGAGTTTTCTATCAATATGGTGTAAACGTGGTAAAACCCATTAGCCCAAACAAGAGTCTCAAGCTCGTCATGTCATCAATTTAAGGAATAATAAAAAATCAATCAACCAATTAAATTTTAATACCTTATAATGCAAAATAAAAAAAAATTTCAAAGCTCATTTTAATAATCACCTCAAATTTAAAGGGTGTGAAATATAATTAACCCTTATTTTCTCCCTTCCACATTGTCCGGGTATCGTAATTGATTGCAATGCAAGGAATATGTAGTTAACTTCTTGATGAAAGTTTATAGATTGGGTCTTTTCTCCAAAAGCATGGGTACCCACATGCCCTTGTTTTGTAGGGTAGGCAGACAATACGGTAACACGTGGGATGTTGTCATAGCATGCACCAATTTGCAGCACCGTGTATTTACATGAACTTTTATTGTTTGGCGGGGAACATATGTTCATATCACATGCAGTACGCCGCTATAATCTTCGTGATATGAGGGCATACTAGATGTCCTTGGATGCTCTAGGGAGCCATAAAATGAATAAGAAATAATTAAAGTTAGGGGCCATATGGTAATATGAAATTTTTTAGGAAGGACATAAACATGACTCCAATAACCTTTTAGTACATTTAATCGTAAAATAATGAGCATAAGATAAATGGTAAAATCAAGATAAAAAAAACACTGTTAAGTTATATATTTCCAACCTCTAAAGTTATACAATATTGGATCGCATGTACCTCAAGACTTTGTTTTCAATATGGACAATTGCACGTTGAAGGTTTACGTAAGACTCTGTGTCCGATGAGGAAGTGAATCGCTAGAGTTTTCTTTATTACAAAAAAAAGAAAAAAAAAAAAGAAGCTTCAAGAATGAATTGTAAAAAATACATAATTTTCTTCTGATTCATATAGCTTCATGATGATTGTAATCAAGGTTCTAAAGAGGTTGTGCGCTAGTCGGGTGGCGGTCGGGGGCCTAATGCTTAGGTTTTTAGGCAGTTTTTTTTTTATTTTAATTAAATTTATTATATAACATGTTAATAAATATCTATTTATACTTAAAATAATACATAATTGTAAATAGAATGACATATAGATTATAGAGTATTAGAACATATCTAAAACATTGGGAACAAGCATATAAGGAGTGTTCCCTCAAGTATTCAACAAGTTTTTTATAATTTATTAAAAAAATAACATGCAAAATGAAAGTTATATAGCTATTTTTTGTCTAAGCGAGAGTTGCAACCTAGACGGGTGCCTAGACAGGTCTAGGTGCTATTTCTTAATTTTCAAATACCTAAGATTAATTGTGTGGCGGTGACTAGTCGCCTAACACTTAGGAGGAAATTTTTAGAACAATGACTGTTATATATATTAGGATGTTAGAGTGGAAGTGATGTCCCTTGGCAATTAGTATAGTGCAAAAAGAATAGCTTGCTTCTAAGTCGGTAAAAATTGCATTCTGGCAATGTATACTAGGACTTTCTATGGGCTAATAATTTGATAATGATATATGCAATCACAAACAAACAGCAAAATGCTATACGATTCCGCACATACAGACAAAAAATGCTTGTAGAAATTCTATTTAAGTAGTTTGACAAGAGTTTGGTACAAAGAATTTGATTTGTTGACTGATGATGATAAATCTCACGTAAGGATGTGTGTAAAATTTATTTTTGCCAAAATTATCAGAAAGGTGGGCCAAACCTACTTATAACAATACTAATATTGTCTTTAAATTGTTGATTTTCACATGCACAGTTTGACAAATGTAAAGTTTTATTACAATATCTCTTGGTATGAGTTAAAGTGAAATTATGACATTTAAACTCTTCTTTTCTCCCTCATCTGCCAATGTAGGATATTTCACGAACTGAACCAAGATGATGAGGTTCTAAGAGGTTCTAACTGGTTGATATCTCCTTTTGACGTTGAGAGATCTTACAAATTCGAATTACCAGCTCTTTTTTGAGTGATTTTTTTTCTCAACATTTTATCCCGTTGATTAAACCTAAATAATAGAACTCCTTAATCTGGACAAATATTATGCCAACATTTAATAATGTGATTGGAGCTACCCCATGTTGATACAAAAATTGTAATATAGTGATTAGAATTTTTTAAAGGAATATCTTAGCTACCATGAGGGACAACCAATAAGGTTAGTGACTGAGGGACTAAAAAAAAGAAAGAAAAGAATAGAGGATGAGATGTGAGATGAGCCTTGAAAAGAAAACATCATTAGTATTTATTGTTTAACGTAGTAGGTAGAGGATAAACCAAATTTTGTGTAGGGATATAATTAACAAGTTTGATTAATAAGAGCAAGAAACAATGAAAACAGAGAAGAAGTATTAAAGTATAATGTTTTGCTGAGTAAATTATTTTTTAGATCATACTTGTGAATTATCTGATGTGTTGGTAATAAAAAATAAACACATTAATTAACACTTAAATAATAATTTAATCATCAATTATTACGTTTTATAATTTATAAAATATAATTTAAATAAATATTTTTTTTAACAATAATAAATAATCTTCTTATCATGCATTACTTGATAATAAGGTGACCCACTGTGGTTAATTACAGGTTATATGAAGTTGGATGACGTTATCGTATTCTAGAAGAGAATCGCCATATTAGATTTACTTATTGGATCTAGTGTGGCAGCTTTAAGCCTTTAAATTCCCACTTTCTTTATCTTGTTGGATGTTTAATATTTTATTCAACATAAAGCAGCACCCTTCAAATGTCAGCAATGCTGAATTATGATCAAATTAATGGAGATAGTATAGAAGGTATTTTAATGAGAAAAATACTCATTATTTTAAAAATGAGATTTTCTATGAGTTTTTTTTACATCTTATTTTTGTGACATAATATTTTATAATGTTAGCATATAAATTGACGTTAAACTATAAGGTGACAGAGAGTCGATGAAGAATTTTATTTTTGAAACTTATCATTTCTCTTTTAATGATTTTGACACAAATGACCCAAGTGACACTCATAAGATAGGTCATTGAACCTCATTCAGATATGGAAGTCAATATATATGGTCTTCAAATTGAATCCTTACTTTAAGATCACCATAAGAATGTCATTACATATACCTTCTAGTAAGTTCTTATATCCCTTCTTGGAGTAAAACCTTTGTTTTTATTTTTATTTTATTTTTTGTAATCGATACCATTACTTTTAAACTCAAGTAAAGTGTGGAGAAACAATTAGAACCCTGAAAACAATATGTTGAAAAAGAAGATCCTGTTATGATAACCCACCACTTGCGGGTTAATTTTTATTAAAATGAACGGATATCTTCCAAATAACAATTAAATATCAAATAATAATTTGACATTGTAGTATTTATTATTTTTCGAAGAGCTTCTAGCACTCATTTGGAGGAGTGCACTCCAAATAAGTGCAAAAAATTAATGAATTAAAGTTTAGTATTATCTTCTTAGTGTGCATACATGTGTGTGTGGGAGAGATTTATTCGCATAAATTTATTCATGTACAATATGAGTTAATTCCTTTCTAAAATCCCAAAGAAAACTGTGTCGATTACTTTGTTTGATGTCTTTACCCTCTGAGACCGTTTTCTTATGTAAACATATGAACATCATACTGGAAATATCGATGTTGACATGCAAATGTAGATGTTGATAACTTGATATGCAAGTAGTGTGCAACAGTTTAAGTTTATTATAACTTAATTATAAATAATGAGTATTTATATATTATATTAGAAAGGTTAATTTGCAACTTATACAATATCGTAATGCAGACGGTGTAAATAGATAGATGATCTTACACACCATGCTAGGGGATTTGTCTGATCCTTAATTTGCACTCGACATGAAATTTTGTCTAAATTTAATTAGAATTAGTTTATCTATTACGGCGTACTTAATCTTTATCTGGTGACTCCAGTATCATAACAGGAACTTTGTTTTTTAATGGTCATGCAACAGAAAAAAAAATCTTTTAAGTATTTGAAGAATCGCACCACACATAAATCCTTATAAATAACTTAAAACCAATGAATTATGCATATTTTTTCTAAGCATTTCAAAAATCATAATCTACTCGCTTCTTGTATTATTCAGGGGTTTTCATATATTCACTTTTATTTTCAATCTTGTGGTGTTAACCTTTACTTTAGTAACAACTACAGCAAATGTAATACCTGTTTCCCCTCCAGCTATTCATCCTAAATTCCTAATACTTTTCACTAATTTCTTTGTATCCAGGAAATAAGATGTGGTATTTATCTCCTTCAAGTATAATATGAGGAGTAGCCAAATTCCTTATAAACTCTTGCAAGATTTGGTCTTTTACCGATGTGAGACTTTGGATCCTTCACATTCTCACGGTTAATAGTCTGAAAAAAGAAATGAAAAGTGCAATCTAACAAGATATTAAAGTTAATTAACATGTAAGGTGCAAGCTAATAATTAACTAAATAAACGTAGTATGATGGAATGAAGTATGTTATGTGATCATGTTCAGAATACACCAAAAAGTTACTCGTACCATTAAACTATCATCCAATGCATGAGTTAAACAAATAGGGGTTAAACTTTCTTTAAATAAAGTAGGGTTAATCTAATCACAAACACTGTACACAAATAAAGTAGGGTTAAACTTTCTTACATAAAGTTACTCGTACCATCCATTATTTTGGTTATTCCGTTAAAAAACTCCGTTAAGTTGAGGGTATATATAACACATAACTTTGGTCCCTGAGTTTTGCATAACACCTAACTTTGATCCTTGAGATTGTCCATTATTTATCATTTTGGTCATTCCATTAAAAAACTCAGGGACCACTTAACGGAGTTTTTTAATGGAATGACCAAAATAATGGATGGTGGATAATCTCAAGGACCACTTCTATTGATTTTAAATATATGTTATGCAAATCTCAAGGATCATTTTGGCTAAAAAGCCTGAAAAGAATGATGTTTGCTTCTAACTTGTTTGGAGGGAAAATATTGACCGAAGGGCAAAGGCCTTGTCAAATGGTGGTGCTTTCTTTTGTACAGAGTAACTGAGTAGGGCCTTTTGCTCTGAAGGAATTGGGAAAACAGTGGGTGGTGTCCCTTTGCATTCACGCATTAGCAGGGAGCCTAACGCGCAGAAAAAGCCAATGGCAGTAGAAGAAGAATAATAATGTGCATAGATACGACCCTATAGTGATATATACTGATTTATGCACATATGTATATATGCATGGGTCCCTCCCGACGTTTTTGACAAACTGTAGTTTGAGTCTCCGACAAGATATATGAAGCGTAGATTTCTTCACAGACAGTATCCAATCGCTCTCAGCCTTGGATGCTCCAAGAAACAGACAGAAAAAGGAAAATGCTAGTTTCAATTGCGCATGAATGAGTGATTAGTTTTTAACCGTAGATGTATTTGAGTCACGTGTTCATATAGGGCTAGAATCACTCACGCACGAATGGGCGACTGTGGTCATCGGGTCGTGGCAGTCTTCTCATTTGCACAAAGCTAGTCCAACAAGCGAAGTTTGAGTTGCATCGTTGCTATAACTTAGAGAACAAGGAAATCAATGTGGTAGGACATGGGTGGGTAAGTGTTGGACTCTGTGGTTTTGCTTTGGAGTCATGGACCCTAGTGAGTACCACAAGGGTCTGACCCGTGCAGTACAAGACAAATTAAAGGAGCAAATTACAGAGTTTTAAATTGCGTGGCTCTTCGTTATTTTGGATGAATGTATCATCATTGACCATACATTCACTTGATGGGTTAGGGCAACCATATGATGTTTCTTGATAGAGACTGAAACTTTTGTAGTCCAGAGTCCCTAGCACCAGATTCTCAAGGAGGATCGGAGAGATTTGTACCGTATGTAACTGGGAAATTCCACGGAGATTTTGATTTTGCTTTAAGTTTACTGAGGATTTCACGTAATGAGAGTTACAGATACGAAGAAATATATTTCGATTGTATGTAAGAATTTCTCCGAAAAGAAGATGTCTTGAAAAGGAGAAATATGGATTAGTTAAGTCCACCCTAGTGCCAACAATTATGTTAAATGAGTGGCCGTTTTTCATTTTTAGTAGTTTTTAGTTTTTGAAAACTAAACACTCTTTCAAGAAAATGAAAAACTGAAAATTGAAAGTCAAATTTTGAAAACTCAAAGAAAGTAGTTTTTTATTTTTTGGTTTTCAATTTTCATTTTGTTGAAAAGAAGTACGTAGTTACCAAACGAGTTTTCAGTTAAAAAAAAAAATGAAAACAACAATTAGAAACTGAAAACGATAGAATTATCAAACTGTCCTTGAGAGTATTACAACTGATTGAAATTTTTACTAAATGCTTATTGGAGGAATCGAGTTTGTAGACCCAAAACCAAAAGAGTATCTCCTTCCTGGACGCTTCTTTTTCTTGTACTTTGCAATCAAGCCCTATCAAAAATCAAACTCCCAATCAGTCTCTTGACTTTTCATTCCTCTACGTTTCCTTCCTACCAAACATGGTGGTAGAGGTCACTTGATGAGATGTAGTTCTTATCAATTGTTTCTTAATGATTAAATCTTGTTGCTTCATATTTGGAAGATTCGAAGTGACCACTAGTTCAAAATCATAACTTCTCATAAGATAAAAATAGGATTAGACACGTCTTTGCCAAATTTGAGGGGTTTGTATTGCAAATTATTGAGGGCTATGTGAGATTCTTTTTTGGTCTTAGAATGTGATATGACATAACAATTTCTCATTGCTTCTCCGGTAATAAGACCAAGTGACGTATAAATTATATTGTTCACTCATATTATAACATCTGAAATGAAAATATTAGGCGATGAATGTATGACCGGAACAAAGTTTATCTATATGAAAACTGACTATGCATGCTTAGTAAAGTTTGGGGAGTCTCTCGGCTTGTATAGCACCTTGGACTCCAATCCAATTTGCAAGCAGGTTGGGAGTATTCGGCTATTGCGATTAGCCCATGAAAGCCAATGGGTTCCTCAGTCCGCCCAAATCACAAAAGTGTTTGGCATTGAGCAGTATAGAATAAAACATGATACTTTTTCAGTACGTAGTATTGAGTAGTATGAAAACTGAATAAAATCGAAAATAAAAAATTTAAATAATAGTGGAAATGAAATCTAACAATTAAAACACATGTAGCAAGCATTGAAGCTACACCCCCCTTTAACATGATAACTATCTCTTGCCTCACTTACAGTGAGTTGCGGGCATATTCTTATATTTTCAGATTGTTAATTTGCACCATACATGTACCTAAGCAATAATCAATCTGACAACGTACATGGCACATCTAAGCAATAATCAACTCGTATGAGTAATTTAGATTTAGAATCCGATAACATTAGCATCAAAATACTTAAGTTCTTCAAAAGTCTCACTCAACAAATTGTCTTGAGACAGGCAAAGCAAAGAATACTTCGGAGTGTTGGTGGGCCAAAATTTTAGAATGAATTGGCCATAGCGACTGAAATCCATGACCTTCAGATTTCTAGCGAGGACTTGGATAACGGACTTGTATAACATCAGTACACCACCGTATAGCGTCTTGTTCTAATAATACAAAAGTATCAATTGCACAGACCCCCACAATGCTTTTCAATACTAAAGTTTACTATATTATATATTTAAATTAAATAAACAGAATTCATTTACACGACATATTTCTGTTCCTGTATATTTATTGAGCACAGTAATGAGAAATACACACTCCCAGCACAGTAAGGGTCTTAGTTCAGTACCAACAAACTCACAAAGTAACTGCACTCCATTGGAAACGGGAAATATGAAGAAGCTACATGAACTTCAAGCTATCACACCATGAACGTCTACATCCAAATTGCCAGGTTCATTTGACGGATCCACGATTTTATGGTCGATCCTATTCTTCCTAATACTGCTGGCATATTTCCCTCGCAGCCAACGGAATGGGTAGATTTGGAACTTTTCCTGGTATTGAGGGATATTTTACTGCAGGCCTCGAGGGCAGTGGTGCCATTATAGGCATTGCAGACATAGCTCAGGAAGTTTTCGTAGTCCTGCAACAGGAGAAGAACGCAATTTTTTGAAGATCCCAATGATAGAACGATAGTGACAAATGTTCATCAATGGTCTAAATGAATAAAAACTACACATATGCATAACCAAACTTGGTGGCAATCGTAAGGCGTTGGGAATCTGATTTATGAGAAAGGAACAAACCTCATAAAGTGGCTGTCCATCCACAACTACCCATGGCACATACTGATGCGGAGGCTGGAGTGCACTGGTTTCAGCTGCATACTGTAGTTCAAGCTGCCAAAGAATAATTTCACTTATATTGTGTTCCTTTTTCATAAAAATCACATAACAAACGAGAAAACGAGAAAATGAGAAGCAGAATTTGCACCGTCCTACTCAACAGAATAACAGAGGTTGTTCCAACAATGCCATAATCAAGAATCAGTGAAATGTTAGAAAAAAAGTGTTTTGACAGCGTGATGCATCCTACCCTTCACCTCTACTACCTATGCTGTCTTTGTGTACATGCTTCCTCTGTGTAATCAACTTGTTTCATGTAGTTTGGCCATATGCCACTAAAACACAAACTATTAGAGTTGTGGAAGGGTCAGGTTTCCAATGTTCTACAAATTTGAGGTACTACTTGCATGCCCAATTCGTACCATACAGTTAATAATCCAGTAATACAAGTGGCGGAAACATATACAGTCCGACAATATTTGGACACTACGCTTTTGCACGGCCTGCAATATACAACTCATTTAATTGAAGAATCACTTAAACTCATACAGCAGAACATCATGAGAGAAGACATAAAGTTCGATCCTTGTTAAAATACAATTAAATATGCATGCAGATGCATTACGAAGGCATGTTTTAAGTTGCAACTTTTTGAATTCTGTGAATAATTAATGAGCTGAATACAACAAGCACAGAAAACTAACCTCTTTACCAAGTCCACTGCTGTAGCATTCAGCAATAGGTTTTGAATCCAAGCCCAGTTTCTCGTAACATGACTCCCACTGGGGGTACTTGTGCTTGTAAACCAAACTCTCGACGCAATAAATGAAAGGAAAATGATCGTTCTGCACAACAGTGATAGTGAACCAGAATTAGCGTTTCTAACTTAAATACTACTTTCTGTTAAGTCTGGCAAAAGTCCATAACTGGCATTCAAATTAGGATACATTTCTATAAAACCAACTGACAACCCTATATAGTACGAGCACTAATTATCCAAGTAGATTGAAAAATAATTACATAAAATCCAAGGAAATATCACAAAGAATTCAGTAAATAATTCTAAAATGATTTATCAGTTTAACTAAACCACCATTTTATTACTATACAATAACCATCGAATAACAAACACCATTGCACCATGAAATATTTTGCAGGAAAATACTAAAAAAATGCTTAGTTAGGATTATAACTAGTTTGATCAAGGCTTACCAATGCAGGCCAGATCTCGATCGCACAGGCTTCCACAGTGTTCAATAAACATTCAGACGGACCATGCTGCAACCATAAAGAAATCCCAAGTTGACAAATTGAATTTGAAACACAAGTGAAATGCATAGCAACACTCAGAAAATTAAAACTTAAGAAAGAATAGACAAAACCCACATGTTACAATGTTTAGGCAAATTACTTTGTTCCAAAAATTAAGGACAATCATCATTCAAAGGACCGGTCAACGATTAAACCCCGATTTTTTTTAAAAAAAAGAAAGCAGGTTGGATTAGAGGACCTGGCAAGTGAATGTGTCGTTGCTTCTGAGCTTGGCATTACCCCAAGGAGAAAGCTTGAGATCAACAATGGAGATCAGGTCATCTTCGAAGAGCTTGACAAGGTAATTCACAATGAAGTTGGCACTGTAGGGGCAGAGGGACTCATAATACAAAGCCAACGAAACTTTACCAGAATCTGAAGGTGGAGTTCTGGCTGCAGAAGAAGGGGGTATGAACACAGCAACCAAGACGAGGCAGGACATAAGAGAAAAAGAAAGGGTTCTACTTTCAAGCCGAGCGGACGCCATTGAATGATTAGGAAAGCTGAAAGAGAAAGGAAGAGCTTATTAGGTGTTTGTGGGGTTGTCACTCAAGCGTTAATTACGCCATTTGTGAATCCTGTTGAACAGAGCAAGAACCAGAGATCAAGTCAGAGATTTTGCCTTTGCCCAAAATTGGTGGATAACAAGTGGAAAATTCAGACAAATAGTTGGCAGTTGATCTGTTTGTTTCTTTTTTAACAGTTGGCAGTTTGTTGTTACCTAAATACATGTAAGATGTTTGACCAAAAAAAATACATGTAAGATATAAATTCATCGTCTATAATTTCGTTAATATTCCGTTATACCGTATTTTCTCCTTCTCTTCTTTTACTAAATTTTAGTCAATTATTTGGTGATATTTCAGTATTTCTCTAAATAGTGGTATTTAATAAATAATAGGTTTTACTCTTTTTCTCTTTATGCTTACGTTTTCAGAATAAGATTCTCTCCCCTCTAAATTCCTCTGTCCTCCCCCTGTCCTCCAATCCTCTCCTATTTGTACGGTTACGATTAAGTCACGTTAATATTTTTTTTTTTTTTTTTTTTTTTTTTTGTTTTGAACAAACGTTATTATCAACACTAAGAGGAAGGGGGTGGGCTACAATGGGCTGGCAATACTGTGGTTCAAATTCACTTTTGGCAAGAATCGAACCTAAGACCTCTCACTTACAAGTGAATACCACTAGACCAGAGTACTAAGTGGCAGTCACATTAACATCTGTTGACTATTTTTATAGAAAGAGAAAGACAAAGGTCAAAGATGAAATTACTGACTGGTCATTGGCACAGAGGTCACCTAGAAGCCTAAACTAAAACAAATATACTTAGTCTCTAGTCTCTACCCATGATAATTTGACAGTGTGCAAGAACTCTTCTTTGTGTATTGCCCTTAGACTTACTTCCTTGTTTCAATTTGCCCTTGTACTTTGTTCTTTCAATTTTTTTACGAGCCTCAATCTTTTAAAATGTGTCAATTTGTCCCAGCCATCAAATCTGTCAAGTTGGGAGCTTTTCTCATCCATTTAAATGTAGAACTAGCAGAAAATGTTACAACTTTGACGAGGTGGGGCAAACTGACATGTTTTCAAAGATTAAGGAACACATAACCAACTTGAAAGTCAATGAGACAAATCAACAAAATGTCATAAGTTGCGAGGCATTGCTAATTTACCGTTTTAAAACGTAATTTATGCATAAGTATAATTTAATATCAATCGCTTTATAGTGTTCAAACCAACATCATTTGATCGTCTGAATTCATCTCCTCCCGCAAATTACATTTTGATACGTGTAAAAAGTAACTAGTATAGCAAAATTAAATTACTTTACATGACATGTCAAATTTTAGGCTTTTTAGCCAAAATGATCCAAAAATTTGGATAGCTCCTCACTTTGGTCCCTATTATTTGAAATTAATAGACGTAGTTCTGAGTTGTCCAACATCAATCATTTTGGTAATTCCATGAAAAATCTCCATTAAATAAGGCTAAAACGACAAAAACACCCTTAATTTTTATCAAATCATTTGGCCCATTGTTTATTAAACTAAGGGCATTTTTATTAATTTGATCATTATTTAATATAATTTTTCATAAAATGATCAAAATTATTGATGGTAGACAAATTCAGCTTCTACTGATTTTTTATTTTAAACATCATGAACTAAATTGAAAAATTATGCATCGCAAACAACATTTTGGCTATAAAGCCCAAATTTTAAGGTTTTAACACATGCAAAAGTAACTTATATTACTGTAAAAAAAATACATTACTTTTATATTCCATGTCAAACTGTAATTTACCAACACAAATAATTTATCAACTCAAAGAAGGAGATAAGTATGAGCAGATAGAGAGAGGGACCTGGCAAGTGATGGTGCTGTTGGATCCAATCCTGGCGTTGCCGTAGGGATAGAGCTTCAGATCGGTGACGGAGATGATTCCGGTTTCGAAGAGCTTGATCAGATCATTAACAATGAATTGATAACTGTCGGGACACAGCGTTTCGTAGTAGAGGTCGACTCTGACTTTGTTGCTACTGCTACTGCTTCTTCTCTCGGAATAAGCGGCGTAGGTTGGAGAGAGCGAAACGGAGCAGAGGAGGAGGAGGAGGTGGACTAAAGAAGGAACAGATGAGGAGGCCATTTGGTGGGGGGCACTTGTAATTTGGGATGTCTTTTGGGCTGAGGACTTACAGCCACCGCTCAAAATATTTTTTTATTTTTTATTGGAATTCAATGCTCGAAAATTCAGTTATGTACGTGCCCTGAAAAATAGTCCAAGTTCGAGGTGGATGTTGGAAGATGGATATTTTGGGATGTGCTTCTTAATTTTCAGTGGGTAGTTTTTGTTTGTTATGTTGAGCTTCAATTTCAAATTTGGGAGTAAAGGCCCAATCCAGATACCCCAGTCCGTGCCTGCTTCACATAACACATAGTAGTGCTTTGAGAAAGAAGAAACTTTTTGTCCATGGTCACACCGTCACGTGGTATAACTACTATCAATTTGTTTATAAATTTGTTTTTATGTTCGCCAGATTGTCACATTGTGTTATTAGTTTTAGTGTTATGGTATGAATGAACGATATGATCAGTATTTGTGAGCGTAAAGTCAAATAGTACATAAAAATACACATGTTGTATGAGTGAATTAGTAGTATTTTGTAAAAGTGTGACAATCACACAATAGAATTTCTCTATATTGAAAAATTCTCTTGGGTCAATAACCGTGCACATATCCAAATGTTTTAATGAGTAGATGACATGGTTAAAACTTTAGGAATGTAGGGTATTTTATATCGGTATTGAAATTCTAAAAAGATAATAATACTGCTCTAAAAGTGAAAATTAATTGTTTCTTTTTTTAAGTGGATGAGCTAGTGACTTCGTCACATTAATTCATCATTCCGGAAACCAAAAAGACTCGCAAAGGCATTTAAGCCTCTGATCACCATCGTGTGAATTCAGAACTAAAACGACTAGGCTATCAATCAAAAAGCTATGCTGTTGCCTATTGAGTAGAAGTCGGGACTTGGAGCGTACTCTTCAGAAACGAAGGCGCTTCACTTGAATGTCGTCGAATCTTTCTTGGAACTGTAAGTGTTGTGCAGTTTAATCATCGCCATAGCTGCAAGATTTCACCTCAAGACAGTTAAGAAAATCTCGTTTCGCCTTCTTCATGAATCATGATCAAGCTTTCCTTTTTTGGACGGAAGCATTATTGCTTGATGGTGACGAAACCTCCTCCTCTCTTCTTCTTCTTCTTCTTCTGTTGTTCCTCGATGACCAAGGAACCTCTGCCTCTGTGCAAACAACAGCACGCCCGCTTTGTTTTCGATCAGCTTCCATTTGATACCGACTCTTCAACTTCTCAGCTGCCTTATTTTCTTTCTTGTTCACCTCCACTTTTGCCTCTTAATAGTTCGTTCCATCTGAATGCAGCATTCGCGTTCTTAGTGTTTTTCGACAGCCTGTTCGGCCCTCGAAGCACCGAACTCGTCCATGTAGAATTTCCACCACAACTTTTTGGTAACTGGACTCATATCCATGCCTCAACATTTTTTTTTTGGGCCAAATCGTAACATAGAAATAATGGCTAGAAAATTTCTTGATCCATCACAAAACACTCCTGACACGAACCGCCACAAACCATTTCTCTCCCTCACTTGCCAATCCAGCCGCCACCATCACAACCACCGCCTGGCCTCAATCTGGTTTCGTCGAACTTGGAAATTGGATGGATAATAAGAGAAATTTGCAAATGAACAAAGTGCAGACTGCAGATGGGAAAATAAAAAGTGAAGTTTATAATGGAATGGTGGAGCAAAAACAGAACAGAACAATTTGTCTAGATAAAGGTTCACTATTTAACATAAAACAAACCAAAATCTCAAAGGAGTTGAAATCCAATCATGCACCTTGGAACAGTTATTTTATTCTCAACAGCATCCTTGATAATTTGATCCATCGGAATGAATCCTAAACCCAAGTTCATTAGCTTCTTCTCTCCGTTTTTGTTCCCTCAGCAAGCCGTGTTGGGTGTCCTTTGGCACACTACACAAAAGTACGCGTATTAACAGAAAACCGGACAACTAAAACATAAGATATGCTCATAGTTTCGGTTGCAAATACATTTTGCAAGACCAGAATTTACCAAGGAACGTTGTACTCGGGGTGAAGTTCAGCAACCTTTGCCACAAAGTCGCCATAATGTGATATAGCTTCAATGGACAAGTGCCTAGCGGTCGCTCATTTGTTCTCGTACAATAAAATGTGCGCGAGAGCTACATCTTTAAGATGCACAGATGCCATTAAGAAGTCCTCATATGTTTCAGTGCAGCCTGCAGCAAAAATTGACAAACTCAAACCTTAACTAGAACAACATAGAAGGTGGCATGGATGGATGAACCCAGTGTTGGAGAACAATTTAGAAACAATAAAATAACAGAAATACAGAACCGAAATATTTATACTTTATTATTCAAAAATACTTGCAATACAGAATGAAATTACATAATAAATACAAAAAATTAAAATAATACTAACTTGAATGAATTGAAGGTAGAGGTTAGCGCAAACGCTATGTCATTTGAACAGTATTTCCGTCTCACTCGTGTGCTTGTGGTTTTACAATGTCTGCTCGACCAGGATACAACTACCTATATCTACAACCCGCACTGGATTATAGAAATCTAGCGAATTGCTTTGTGTGTTTACTCTCTGGAAATTTTGTACGGAAAACAAGGAGGAAGAAAAGATAATTCTCACTTGGATACTAGATTGCAAATATATAGGCTGTTTCACACCCTTTCAAATACTTGTATTTGAAAGTACACAACTCTTTCTAATAGCTGTGTCTTTTAATCAAAACATACAACTCTTTCTAATAGATGTGTCTTTTAATAAAAAAGTTTTTTAATTAATAAATTAATTAAAAAACTTAATCCAAAAATTAAAATTAATGAATCTGATTAATTTTAAATTCCAAGGCCCAAGGCCCTTGTCATGATTAATTAATATTAATTGTATTTAGGGTATATTATATTCAAGTCTAATCCACACAACCATAAGGTCCAAGCCTTCAATCCATTTCCAAATGGTCCAAATTCTAATTACTAAGAAGAAAAAATAAGCCTATATAAAGGCTAGTGAAAAAATACTGTTGACCAATGTGGGACAAGAGGGTCTCAAACTCCTACACCCAAGAAACCCAAGCAAACCTTATCGACATGAATTTTAAAACGTCAAGAAACAGGTGCTAGAAAGGAGGATATTACCCTGTTGAGCCACCATTAATTTGTTAAAAAATATTAAAACGTCAAAAAATTCGTAGACAAACAAATAACAATGCTCAAAGTATTTTAAAGTCATAAATATATGGATGCCTTATTAGACAAAATAGTTCTTTCAGTAATCATTCGAATTAAATAGCCAAAAAAGAAAAAAAAAAACCAAGACTTAAGATTTGATCTAGTACTGGACTGGAGGGAGATAGAGATTAAGTAGTGGATAACAAGCATAAAACCCTAGCACCCGAGAGGTATGGAAGATATATTGTCACACCAGATTTGAGGACGAACCAAATACAAATGCAGATCTTTGAATAATGATCTTAACTAGGAGAGCTCAGCCGCAGTGTATGCCAACTGCCTGTACTCGGCTTCAGCACTAGACCTAGAAACAGTCTTCTGCTTCTTTGAACTCCAGGATATAAGGTTGGAACCAAGATATATACAAAAACCATTAGTTGAATGACGAGTATCCGGATTCCCTGCATAATCTGCATCAGAGAAAGCACTGAGTTGAGTAGGTCCAGGTTTATATAGAAGACCATGAGTATGCGTGGCCTTCAAATATCGTAAAATCTGTTTGACGGCCATCCAGTGAGTTGTTTTGGGAGCATGCATAAACTGGCATACTTGGTTGACAGCATAGGACAGATCTGGGCGTGTAATTGTGAGGTATTGTAGTGCTCCAACCACACTACGATACACCTCTGGTTTGTCATACAGTTCTCCCCAATGCGCACTGAGCTTTTGACCAGATGAGACGGGAGTAGATATAGGCTTGGCTTCAGTGAATTTGGTACGAGATAGCAAGTCCAATGCATATTTAGATTGACAGAGATGCATAGCAGTCCCATAATAGTTGACTTCAACCCCCAAAAAATAATGAAGGGTTCCTAAGTCTTTCATGGAGAACAACGTACCCAAGCGCTGAATCAATCCGGATATTTGGTGAGAACTATTGCCTGTGATGAGTATATTATCCACATAGATTAGGAGAAGCAAATACACACCTTTTTGTCTGAACACAAATAAACTGTAGTCGCATGTGGATTCCTGGAACCCTAATTCAAGCAAAAAATCTGAGAACCTCTGAACGTCTCTTCAACTTGCCTAGCTTTATGTCGTTCAATCGTACCATCTGCACGTCTCTTCAACTTGAACACCCATTTGTTAGGAAGCAAATTCATGTTGGAATGATGGGGAACCAAACTCTAAGTTCCACATCGCTGCAATGCATTAAATTCTTGACTCATCGCATTTCTCCACTCCGGATACTTAACAACTTGACTGAAACACGTTGGTTCAACAAGTAACGTGTCAACAGTTAAATGCATGGCATATTTGGGATTGGGTTTATGAATCCCTGACTTGGAACGAGTAGTAACTTGATAGTGTGGAACATCAGGAGTAGCAGGGAGCACAGGTTCAAAATGTTCAGCGACTTGCTCATTTGATGGTGCAACAGACTGGATGGTAGGGGATGACACAGGTATTGTAGGGCAAGGTTAAGATAAAATTGGGTTAGGATGGGTATCAGTTAGAGAGGCTCTTGTGGCAAGAGTGGTTGGATTAGGGTTAACTTCTTGGGAAAGAGATGAGACAGCAGGATTAGGGTTAAGTGGTAGATGCAAACTAGGGCTGCTAGGGGTGTCAAACGTCAATAAGAGATCTGGGGTCAGAAGGTTACCTAAAGGTGTGACGTTTTCTGAAGAAGATGTGAGTCCCTGAAAAGGGAAGCAGCCCTCATCGAATAGGACATGGCGAGACACATAAATGCGTCTTGTAGACAGATCCAAGCACTTGTAGCCCTGATGATTCAGTGAATAACCCAAGAAAACACAAGCTTTGGATTTTTGTTGAAGTTTATTTTGTGTATAAGGCACTAACCAAGGAAAACATCGACAACCAAACACCTTTAAAACATCATACTTTGGTTTTTTTTGAAAAAGTTTCTCATAAGGAGATGTGTAAGACAAAATTTTAGTTGGCAAACGATTTATCAAGTAAACTGCCGTGGAACAGGCATCAAACCAAAAAGTTTTGGGCATGTGAGATTGTGAAAGCATGACTATACTTGTTTCAATAACGTGTCGATGTTTTCGCTCGGCAATTCCATTCTGTTCAGGGTGTTTAGGACAAGAAAACCGTTGTGAAATGCCATTATCATTGAGAAATTTTTGAAAGGCATGGCTTTTATACTCTCCTCCTTCATCACACTGAAGGGTTTTAATGGGCAAATCAAACATTTTTTGAACTTTGGCCTTAAATGTAACAAAGATTTCAAACACTTCACTCTTGTTTTTCATAGGAAAGATCCAAGAATAGCGAGAGTAGTCATCCACAAACAAAACGTAATAACGAAAACCTTCATTAGAATTAATGGGAGAACACCACACATCAGAGTGCAGAAGTTGCAAAGGAGATTGAGACATTGACTCAGACAATTTGAAAGGTAACTTAGTACTCTTTCCTAAGGGACACGACTGACAAAAGCTTACATTTGAAGTATCGTGAATTGGTACCAAGTTATTGGAAATTAAAAACTTAATTATAGAATTGGCAGGGTGACCTAGTCTTGCATGCCATGTATTCACTGAACACCGAAGGCCTACAAATGCTGAAATTGGATGCTTGAGTTGTCCAGTGCCACATGGAAATGGATATAATCCATTCTCACATCTCCCTCAGAAAAGTGTCTTCCGAGTCTTGAGGTCCTTAACAAGGAAAAAATAGGGAAAGATTAGGAGATAGCAATTGTTGTCCAAAATAAACTTATTCGCAGAAAGTATATTTTGGGAGGCAGAAGGACAATGAAGGATATTATGCATGTCAAACGAGCAAGTTAGAGTATGTAATTCATTTAAACCAGAATGAGAGATAGAAATGCCAGAGCCATTACCTACACCCCCAATAGTTTCATTACCATTATACTCTTTAGGGTTAACAAGGTTCTGAATCTCAGGAGTTATGTGAGCATTGGCGCCGGTGTCCAACAGTCAGGTACCGTTCTGTTGTTTGTTGAGAGTGACAGGGGCAGACGACATGGCTGCGAGGCGTTGAGTGGGAATTCTTCCTTCAAAAGAAGCATTCATCCTATTATAACAATCAAGGCCCGGATGACTTGGTTTGCCACAGATTTGGCAAACAATTCTCTCACCATTAGAGCCAACCCGCTCTCCACTGCATGGCATGGTGCGAGAGTTGTTGTTAGTCCGAGGAGCATTTCCTCGTTGGTTGAACACGTTACCTCGATAGGATGAAGAAACACCTCTCCCAATCCCTCAAGTGCGGCCACCACCTCGACCACGAGAAGCAACAAAAGCATTGACCTGCGCAGATTCCACCAAAGGAGCAGTGTGCGCAGCCATTCTACGCTCAGTAGTTAACAACAGCGCCTCAATAGTAGGGTAAGTGATTGGAGAATCATGGGCTTGAGCAGCACTGATAGTCATCTCGAAGGCAGGTCCTAGGTTATTTAACACAATCTGGACCAATTCATCATCACTCACTGGTTGCCCTGCTAGGGCAAGGTTGTCAGTAATCGTGTTCATGCGATCAAGGTAATCCGCCACAGTAAGATCACCTTTCTTCGTCTGCAATAATTCATTTTTCAGAAACAAAATCCTGTTTTGTGAAGTAGAAGCATACCGTTGCTCGAGTGCTTCCCAGGTGGCTCGAGCAGTCCTCTTGCTCGCCACGATAGACAGGACAAAAGCCGTCAATGAGCCATTGATCCAACTAAGGATCATTTAATCATGTTGGACCCATGTAGTGTACGCATGGTTCACAGTTGTTACACCAGGCAGATGCTTGGGAGGAGACACCATCGTTCCATCAACATATCCCATCAGATCTCTGCTCTTGAGAATTGGGAGAATTTGGGCCAAGCACAGTGGGTAGTTGGTCCTATCAAGTTTGATGTTAACGACAGTGGTGAAGGGGTGGAACGGATGAGGGGAAGTGAGGTTGGAAGCGGAGGAGGAGGGGACAACATTGTTCTCATCCATTGAAGCGTGGGAAAGAAAAGGAAGATCGATGTCGTTAGACAAAAAAAGGGCTCAATACCATGTAAAACTTATTAACTCAGTGTTTCACTATAATTGCATGCCCCAACAATTATGGGATGCATGTATTTATAATACTTTCATGATTACAATTTGGGTTTGAAAACCCTAGATACAAGGAGCGTTTGAAAAACAAAATACAAACAGAAAACCAAAGAGAAGATTACATCCACATGTTTAGATTATCACAGAAAACCAATCAAACAAACAAGTCCTAGAAACTAGGAACAGCTGAGAGGATAAGAGTTTGATCCAAGTCAAACTCCTCAAGTTGCAGTGATTTCCTCAGCATACTGACCTCGTCTAACACATACATACATACATACATACATACATACATACATACATACATACATATATATATATATATATATATATGCTGTCTAGCTTACCTTAATTAGTAACTCATTCAACGTAGTGAGATATTGGAATTGATACAGCTTAATTTTGATCATAGTCGTGTCTTGAGGAGGAAACCAGCACCGCACCGAGTAGCTTGTATGTTTATTTGACGTAGGCCTCGGCACAATTATCTGCAATTTAGAGTACAAATAATTATAATTCTTTTGTTCATACACCTTTCACCTTAAATTAATTGCATTTGTACATACATATCCAAACGAAGTAAAAAAAATCAAACCACTGCAACTCACCAATATGAAACGTCATTACCGGCAAAGCATGAAACTCGATGTTTGGGACGTGAGAATTACTGCCTCTCCTCATGCTTGCAACGTTCTTCAAGTTTCGGACACCAGAAAATGGTAAGGTTCTGCAGTGGTATTTTGCAGAGGAAGTCTGGCAGTGTTTCCAGAGCATAGCACTGACTTATTTCCAATGAAGAAAGGCATGGCATGATTGTGATTCCAGAATCCCCTTTGTTCCACCCTTTCACTCCTTCCCAGCGCTTCCAAGACGACATTTTGTAAAAGTGGAGTTGCTTCAGTTTTGGGAATAATATTGATGAGGATGACTTGAATGAAGAAGATGTTTGATCATCTTCTAATCCCAAAAACTCACCACCAACCTTTCTTACACCCGACATCTCCCCTACGTACAGTTTTTCGAGGAACGGCAATCTCACAAGAGGAGGCAAACTTTCACAACCCGAATTATCCTGCAGAGTAAGGAATCGTAACTTTTTTAAAGAAAACATCCAATTAGGCCAGGTGGAGCCAAAATTCCCATCAATCCCTAAGGATTCAAGATTATCATGTGGTCGTAAGACATTCATTATTCGTACAATGCTTTCTCCAACCTCGCACAATTCAGCAAAATCAAGCTGGAGATGAAAAAGTTGCTTGTTGTCCCGCAATTGTGCTTCACCAACTTGGCTCCCATCTTTCAACTTCCCCAGTATTCTTATTGTGAGATTTCCCTGAAGGTGGTTCAAGGTTCTCAGATCTCCAACTTGAAATGCTTCGTCGTTGTCAACAGAAAACAGAGGACACACGTCCAGTGTTTGCAAACTTGTTAATCTCCCTATCCCTTTTGGTAAGTGCTTCAATGAGTAACTCCCACCAATGTAAAGATGCTTTAAGCTTATCAACTTTCTCATGTTATCCGGCAATGTTTTAATTGATTTGCAGCTCCGAATGTCCAAGGTATACAAATTGTATAAATCACAAATGGTGTCTGGTAATTTCTCCAAATTTTGACTCCAAGACAAATCAATATGTCTCAAATGTATCAATTTACCAATCTCTCCTGGGAGTTCTTTGATAAAATTTTGAGACAATTTTATCGTCCTAAGACATTCAAATTGTAAAATGAAACTAGCGTATACCCTAGCAACACTTGAGTTAATTGTTTTGAGCGTACGTAGATTTTTGCAATTGCCTGAAGTGATAAAAAATAAAGCTTGACTGTCAGCTATAGCCATTATGGTCAAATGGCGAACCTTGCTACCCAATGTGTGACATCCCACATCGCCCAGGGGTGTGATCCTTATATGGATATTCCCATCCCTACCTAGCACGAGGCTTTTTGGGAACTCACGAGCAACTTCCCAGTGGGTCACCCATCATGGGATTGCTCTAGCCCCCTTCTCGCTTAACTTCGGAGTTCCTACGGAGCTCTGATACCAATTGTCACATCCCGGCCCGGGATGGACCACTTCCCGAGCCCGCTTCACCACCGTAGCACGATATTGTCCGCTTTGGGCTTACCATTCCCTCACGGTTTTGTTTTTGGGAACTCACGAGCAACTTCCCAGTGGGTCACCCATCATGGGATTGCCCTAACCCCTTTCTCGCTTAACTTCGGAGTTCCTACGGAACCCGAAGCCAGTGAGCTCTCAAAAGGCCTCGTGCTAGGTAGGGATGGGAATATCCATATAAGGATCACATCTCTGGGCGATGTGGGATGTCACACAATGCCTCTATTTTATGGTTTGCACCCTCAGCCTCCGTAATTAAACATTCCTTCTTGGTGATAAATTGCACAAAGTCATGTACAATGTCATGCATTTTGCAACCTATTATTACACCAGTGTTAGAGTGTTTCTCAAAATCTTGGAAAAAAGATCGCGCAACTAAATTATCAAAAACAACTTGACCAATTTTTTCCTTTATCTTTATTCTCTCTAGAATTAAGATAATCTTATGCCATCCAAAGATTAATCAACTCATCTCTACTAAACTCATAATCTTTTGGAAAAATAGCACAATATAAAAGGCAACATTTGTTTCTCGGGGCCAAATCATAATAACTTAGAAATAATGGCTGGAAAACTTCTTGCTCCACTTCTTCCCAATCCCATATTTTACTATTCAGAACCTTCAACCATTCACTCCTTGTTCTCTTATTGCGCATCATACTGCCTAAAGTCTTTGCAACAAGTGGCAAACCCTTACACTTTTTTACAATCTCCCCACTGATTTCTCCAAACACCTCAAACATGCCTATTTCTCTATTAGAAAATGCCATGTGATTAAAGACTGACAAACAATTTTGTTCGCTCAACTCCACAAGATTGATCACATGAGAGGTTGCCCTCATCATATTAGCAACATTTTGTTTTCGGGTGGTTACCAATATTCTACTGCCCTCAGCCCCATTTTGCATCAATGAAAACTTTAATTGATTCCACTTTTTACTGTCTTCGGTCCACACATCATCCAACACAAGAAGAAACTTTACCCCCTCAATGGATCTAGACATATATTCTAAGACATGATCCAACTCATTTGAACTTGAGGAAGCATCACCACTAATCGCTTTGGCAATCTTTATCTCATCGAAAGGCTCTGACACACAAACCCATATTCTCTTTTGAAAATGAGCTTTAACTTTGGCATCATTATAAGCTAGTTGAGCCAAAGTTGTCTTTCCCATACCTCCCATCCCTACAATAGGAATGATGAGGAGCCCCCTCCCTTCTCTACTAGTATCACTCACCAACTTCCTTATCAAACTATCTTTTTCCTTTTCTCGACCAAATATCTCAAATATATCGACAAAAGACGACGTTTGCTGTTTTTGAATGACTTTTTCAGTGAGCTGAAAATTATACATTTGTCTTTGCTTATAAATCTCAGCTAACTCCCCATTTAGATCCTTTATCTTGTGAGCAATTTCATGACGACTAATTACCTTGCCGACCGGGCCATGACCAAAACAACGAGCGAAAATAGAGAAACATACCTTCTTCTGTGGAGCAAGATGAGTTGCACCTTCTCTTTCTCGTTTCTCAATTTGTTGTCTCAGAATGTCAGTGTTCCACTCATCCAACACATCCACTATCTGGTACGATATTTCCTTCAGGTTATCCAGCCAGTGTTGCACGTTGGCTTCCTTCATTTTCCTTCGCTCTGCATCCTCAAGCACAGCTTGAATAGCTTTGAGATTCCCAGCGAATTCTTCAACTTCTTTCTTAACATTTAGAACGAGTTTCACCTCGTCCTCTATGTACTCATAAGCCATTGTAGCTAGCTTCTCTAGTAGCGTGGAAACAAGCGCATCAGCCATTTTCAGGTATAGAAACTCAGAAATCGGTTGAGAATGGAGAAGAAGAAGTCGGCAGTGTAGGAAAGTATATATGAAGAGGAAATTAATGCAGGATGGTTGTACTATTGCTTTTCTTCTTTGCTAGTTTGTATAGACAGTGGACACCTTTGGTTTCCCGTTTGCTTAAATAATGCAAGATTCTTTGCTCTTATTACCAAAAAGATTTGCGTTGATGGTGCTGCTGGTTTTGTTCTACCTAGTTCTTTGCTTTGCTTTTAATCATAAAAAGAAAGATGGGAATATAACGTGACTTATTACCAAAAATATTTGCCTTGATGCTGCTGCTTACTCTCCTTGGATGAAAGGAATAACAAATTTTGAGGAATGAATCTATGGTGGCAGGGTCAGCAAGCAAACTCATTTTTCAGAACGTAAACCTTCTTCTCCGAATCTGAATGTCTTTCTCGAGAAGAGTTAAAAGAAAAGCCCTGCTGTTGTCCGCTTTCAAATTATCAGAAATCTGAACTGTAGTGAACCAAAATACATAATACAAGATCATTGGATTTGTATTTACTAAATTGTCTAACTTAAGCGTACAAAACTGGGAGAACATAGCCAAAGCGCTAAATTCAATCATGTCTATCCAAAAACTTCTCTATCGGCACCGGAAATGCTACTAATCCGGCACAACCAACACAGGCTACTTGCAGACCAGCTACAACAACACAAGAAGTTAGGTTTTTTCGTAAGAATATAATCTTACATGCATGAAAATGAATTGAGCATATAGCAGAACCAAAAATTAGTTTTGCACTAGAGGCTGGAGGAATAAATTAGTTTTGAACTCACTATCCACGAGACTATAGGCAGGGTATAATTCTTTAAAGTAATGTTTAAAGATATTAAATCTTTTAATGACACCATTTGTCAGTTATGTCAAAGACTCAGAAAACATTTATCCGTGTTCCTCTCATTCCTACATCTCAGGTTATGCAGTTTTTTGATAAAATTACAAATGCCTTGAATTTAAATAGAACATTGTCAGAAGAGGGACTGCATTTTATCAAAACTAAAAAGGCCTCTAGACTATCAAGCAACCTCTGCTGTTGCCTGCTTTGTGGTAGTCGAAATTTGGAGCGTAATCTTCAGAAACGATGGTGCTTCGCTTGAATGTTGTCGAATCTTTCTTGGAACTGTAACTCTTTGCTTTCTTCATGTTCAAGCTTTCCGTTTTTCCGGACGGATACATTTTCGCTGCCAACCCCAAGGTGTTTCTGCTTCTGCTTCTACTTCTTTTGCTGGTCCTTGATGATGACGGAACCTCTGCCTCCGTGCAAACAACAACTCGCCGGCTTTGTTTCCGAGCAGCTTCCATTTGATACCGACTTCAACCTCTCAGCTGCCTTCTTTTCTTTCTTGTTGACGTCCTCCAGCTTTGTCTCGTAGAGCTCTTTCCATTTGAATGCGGCATTCGACTTCTTGGTGTTTTTGACCGCCTGATCAGCCCTTGAAGCACCGAACTCCTCCATGTAGAAATTCCGCCACAACTTAATCGGTGACTGGACTCAAATCTCTGCCTCTGGTACTCTTCTCTACGCACCTCAACTGCTCGACCGTACATTTAATCTGGTAGGATTTTCTCGAGAAGATTGGAATCCACTTTGCTAACGTCCCCGCCAAGGTGGCGCATTATATCAAACACCAAAGATGGAGGAGCTGTTGCTGCTGCTTTTGCTTCCACAGTACTAGCCATGTTAGTAATTACTTGCTATTAGTCCTTTTAACTTTCGGTGAGGTGAAAATCAAGAGAAATTCTCTCGTTATACAAAGAATTTGACGTAGACTGTGGGCGGACTTACGTGGAACTGGTTAGCCACCACGTAGCGTTCCAGTCCAACAATGCACTGATATTCTAACTTACAGCTACACCGATTAAGGTGTGAACTTTAAGGTAAACTTATCGTACACTCATATTAATATTATTTTCTTCACAGAACAAGGAATATTCAAAGGAGTTGAAACAACCATTCAGGTTACATATCCTCGCTACTAGTACAAGACATCCTAGATCCCTGATCAGTTTCATATCCCTGCAGTTTTATTTATGAAATAAATCCCTTGCTCTTTAGGCTCTCAACACCATCCTTGATAATTTGATCCATGGGAATGAATTCTAAACCCATGTTCATTAGCTTCTTCGCTCCGTTCTTTTCCCTCAGCAAGCCCGGTTGGGTGTCCTTTGGCAAACTACACAAAGGCAAACATATTAGCTCGATCATTTTCAAAATCAGGCACTCACACCACCTGAAAAATTTGTAAAATTCTGCCAAGGCAAGCAACAATGCATCAAAAGGTTGAAAAACTAGGAAATCAACATTTGGAAGGGATTCTGAATTAGACCAAAGAAGGACGATATATGTACATCTATACCCGCATGAAACTCTTTTACAGGAAAAAACAGATTTCAATTCGCTATTTTGGTCACGAATATCAAACACGTGATGGGAGGAAAAAAAGAAAGAAAAAACCATAGTCCTCCAGCTGTAGAAGAGTTCAGTGTATCTAAGAAACTCGGTACAAAATCAAGACAGAGTATATTTTAAGTTGTGCTTCTGAAAAGGGATGACACATTCACTTATCGGGAAACCAAACATCTAAAACATAAGATATGCACACAATTTCATTTGCAAATGCATTTTGCGGGCCAAAAATACCTGGGAACCTTGTACTCAGGGTAAAGTTCCGCAACCTTTGCCACAAAGTCACCATAATGTGATATAGCTTCCACACACAAGTGCCTACCTGTTGCTGATTTGTTCTCATAAACTAAAATGTGCGCTTGAGCTACATCTTTAAAATGCACAGATCCCATAAAGAAGTCCTCATATGTTTCAGTGCAACCTGCAGCAAAGATTGAACAACTCAAATCTTACTTTATACATGGTGTTTCTAGGGCTTCTTCCTTTTTCTCAGTCCTCCCGAAGGAGGAATCCAAACAAACTTTATCAAAAATCCTTAGAACTTAAAGAACCGTGTGCCAGAAAAAGAGGTGTAGAAGAGTTCCTTTATGATCACACACATGCATGCACACATAATATACCTTCTCCAAGATTAGGGACTAACTGGAAAACAATCAGCAATCTCGACTGTTATGAAGGAAGAAATCTTTCAAGTGCTCAGGTATCAAACTCAATCTTTCTTTAGCAAAAATGTCTTAAGAGAAAGAAAATACCTAATTTTTAGTTCATCAACCAACCTCAGCCTCATACATAATAAGTGGGAAATGTTCTCTTGCCATTTAGATGTTATATCATCTACAAACTGTCAATTAAAGATCAAACTTCGTCTAAATTTGTGATTCGAGTGCAAATTTCGCAACATTACATAGCATACTATCAGGCGAGAGAACATAAACCGCTAGTGGAGTTTTCAAATAACTTAAGAGGGCAGTCCTAGAGGATATTCTAATACAAATTTGCAGAGAAAAGTACCCTCAAGAAGGCGAAGGAGCATCAACATGCTAGCATTGAGCCTGGGCGAGATAACAGGGCCCATCACCGTGCCCGGATTCACCACAACCACATCCAGCCCCTTCTCCTTGGCAAATTCCCACGCAGCTTTCTCCGCCAGCGTTTTCGATAATGGATACCACAACTAGCCAAACACCAAGCACAATCAGCATTACAGTCCCCAATTGTGATAACTTCAAGTAGTTAAAAATGAAGAATTAATAATCAAAGATGAAAGATACAATACAAGCAGGGGAAAAGCATACCGAAAGTTACAAACTTTCAATAAGAAAATAGAATGCGGACATTAGACAGACAATAAACCGTATATAAACAGCGGTTTTTCAAAACACAACTAGGCATTGGAGTAACTCACTCCCTTCTGCTTGCAGTAGTCAATGTCTGTCCAGCAATCCTCGCCCTTGACCTTATCAGACGGCCAGCTTCGGCTGGGAGTGATTGCGGAAATGGATGACGTCAGCACCACACGGCTGGCCCCAGCGTGCTTCGCCGCCGTCAGAACATTGAGCGTTCCTTTGATCGCCGGGTCCAGAAGCTCCTTCTGCAGATTAAACAAAAAAAGCACCACGCTTTCAAAATTACGCATAATTAATCAAACATAATCAAAATTAGAAGGAATCTGATAATGTGTACTCGTGCGAACCTCGGGGTCGTGGACTTGATCGACGATGCAGGGAGAGGCGAGGTGGAAGACGCCGGAACAGCCATTGACGGCGGCGAGTATGGAGTTGTAGTCGAGGAGGTCAATCTGGAAGAGACGGAGGCGCGACTCTGCTCCCTCTACTAACGCTTCTAGATGCTTCGTCTCGCCCTCGTCCTCTGCAACACAGAAAATGACGGCATTTATTCAATTTAGACTGAAAGCGAATGGAATTGGAATGAAATGAATGACATTGTGGCAGTTGTGTAGATAAAGTGAAAAGAAAGAGGAAATTTACTGAGATCCTTGACGGTGGCGTGGACGGTGTAATCACGGTGGAGGAGGAGACGGACGAGCCACGATCCAATGCAGCCGCTTCCACCGGTGACGCATACGACCTCACCCTGCTTCGACATCCTCCCTCCTGTGTCCCTTTGCTTTCAGCTGTCGAGAGCTCTTCAGTTATTTCCAGCCGATTGTTGTTGGTGATCAAGTTGAATTGGACCGCGTGGATATTTTTCTTATAGAAAGGCCCAAAACAATAAACAGCCATGATCTTCTTCTTCTTCTTCCCTTTTTTTTTTTTTTTTTTTTTTTTTTTTTTGGCACTTTACACTTTACACCTTAAATTAATTGCATTGTACATTATCCAAACGAAGTGCAAAAAATAAAATCAAAGCACTACAATTTCTACATCAGAATACTAGAAATTATCAATCTCGACGTTTGGGATTTCAAAAATCTTGGGCCACTGTCCTTTTTTGCAACGTCCGGCAAGTTGCGAACACGAAGAAATGATAAGATTCTGCAATGGTGTTTTCCATAAGAAGCCTGGCAGTGTTTCTAGATCAAAGCACTGAATTATGTATAAAGAAGAAGGGCATGGCATGATTGTAATTTCACGATCCACGTTCCCCCCTTTCACGCCTTCCCAGTCCTTGCAAGACGCCAGTCTGTGAAATTGGAGTCGCTTCAATTTTGGGAACAATATTGATGAGGATGATTTGAATGAAGAAGATGTTTGATCATCGTCTCCTACTCCCAAAAACTCGCCACCAACCTTTTTTACACCCAACATCCTCCCTACGTACAGTTCTTCAAGGAAAGGCAATTTCCCAAGAGGAGGCAAAACTTGACAACCCTTGTTCCCCGACAGAATAAGGAATCGCAACTTGTTTAAAGACATCAGCCAATTAGGGAAGGTCGAGCCAAAATACACATCATTATAATTCCAATTAATATCTAAATATTCCAGATCATCGTGCGGTCGGAAGACATTCATTATTCGTACACTGCAGTCTCCAGCCTCGTAGACCACTTTTCCAAAATCAAGTTTGAGATGAAAAAGTTGCTTGTTGTCCCTCAATTGTGCTTCACTCACATCCTTCACCTTCCCCAAAATTCTTATTTGGAGACTGCCGCGGAGCTGGTTCAAGTTTCCCAATTCCCCAACTTGAAATGCTTCGTCGTTGTCGACAGAAAACAGAGGACACACGTCTAGTGTCTGCAAACTTGTTAATCTCCCTATCCCTTTTGGCAAGTACTCCAACGAGCGGCACCCCCCAACGTAAAGATGCTTTAAGCTAATCAACTTTCTCATGTTATCAGGCAATTTATTCAGTGATGTGCATCCCCGCAGATCCAAGGTATACAAATTGTATAAACCACAAATGGTGTCTGATAATTTCTTCAAATTTTCACTCTCAGACAAATCAATATGTCTCAAATGTACCAATTCACCAATCTCTTCTGGGAGTTCTTCGATGGACGTATAAGACAAACGCAACTTTATCGTCCTAAGACTTTTCAATTTTGAAATAAAACTACCATACACCGTATCAACCCTTGAGTGAATTGTTATGAGAGTGCGTAGATTTTTGCAATTGCCAGAAGTGATAGAAAGTACAGCTTGACTATCAGCTATTGACGTTAAGGTCAAATGATGAACCTTACTGCCCAATAACTCTATTTTTTCGTTTGCACCCTCAGCCTTGGTAATCAAACATTCCTTCTTGGTGATAAATTGCACAAAGTCATGTACAATGTCATGCATTTTGCAACTTATTATTGCACCAGTGTAAAGGTCTTTCTCAAAGTCTTGAAAAAAAGACCGCCCAGCTAAATTATCAAAAATAGCATGACCAATTTTTCCTTTATCTTTATTCTCCCTAGAATTAAGATAATCTTGTGCCATCCAAAGATTAATCAACACATCCCTACTCAACTCATAATCTTTTGGGAAAATAGCACAATATAAAAGGCAACATCTATTTCTTGGCGCCAAATCGTAATAACTTAGAAACAATGGCTGGAAAACTTCTTGCTCCACTTCTTCCCAATCCCATATTCTACTATTCAGAACGTCCAACCATTCACTCCTTGTTCTCTTATTCCGCATCATACTACCTAGAGTCTTTGCAACAAGTGGCAAACCCTTACACTTTTTTACAATTTCCTTACTGATGTCTCCAAACACCTCAGACTCGCCTATTTCTCTATCAGAAAATGCCATGTGATTGAAGATCGACAAACAATTTTGTTCGCTCAACTCGGCAAGATTAATCATGTGAGATGTTGCTCTCATCATACTAGCAACATTTAGTTTTCGGGTGGTTACCAGTATTCTACTGCCCTTAGCTCCATTTTGCATCAATGGAAGCTTTAATTGATCCCACTTTTTACGATCTTCGGTCCACACATCATCCAACACAAGTAGAAACTTTACCCCCTTAATGGATCTAGACATATATTCTAAGACATGATCCAACTCTTTTAAACTTGAGGAGGTGTCATCACTAATTGCCTTGGCAATCTTTATCTCATCAAAAGGCTCTGACACACAAACCCATACTCTCTTTTCAAAATGGGCTTTAACTTTGGCATCATTATAGGCTAACTGAGCCAAAGTTGTCTTTCCCATACCTCCCATCCCTACAATAGGGATGATGAGGAGCCCCCTCCCTTCTTCACTCGTATCACTCACCAACTTCCTTATCAAACTATCTTTTTCCTTTTCTCGACCATATATCTCAGATATATCGACAAAAGACGAAGTTTGCTGTTTTTGAATGACTTTTTTAGCGAGTTGAAAATTATACATTTTTCTTTGCTTATATATCCCAGCTAACCTCACATTTAAATCCTTAATCTTGAGAGCAATTTCACGACGAATAATAACCTTCCCGACTTGGCCAAGACAAAAACTACGAGCGAAGATAGCGAAACTTACCTTCCTCTGAGGAGCAATATGAGTTGCACCTTCTCCTTCTTGTTTCTCAACTTGTTGTCTCAGGATGTCCGTGTTCCACTCATCCAGCACGTCCACCATCTGGTACGATATTTCCTTCAGATTGTCCAACCAGTTTTGCACGTTGGCCTCCTTCAATTGCCTTCGCTCTGCATCCTCAAGCATAGATTCAATAGCTTTGAGATTCCAGGCGAATTCTTCAACTTCTTTCTTAACGTTCAGAACGATTTTCACCTCGTCCGATACGTATTGATAAGTTGTTGAAGCCAACTTGTCTAGTAGTGTGGAAACAAGTGTATCGGCCATGTTCAGGGTTAGAAACTTAGAAATCGGTTGAGGGTCGGGAAGAAGAAAAAGTCGGCTGCGTACGAAAGTATATATGAAGAGGAAACTAATGAAGGATGGTTGTGCAATTGCTTGTCTTCTTTGCTAGTTTATATAGACAGTGGACACCTTTGTTTTCCCGTTTGCTCTCTACAATGCAAGATTCTTTGCTCTTATTCCCAAAAAGATTTGCCTTGATGCTGCTGTTTACTCTCCTTGGATGAAAGGAATAACAAATTTTGAGGGTGAATCTGGAGTGGCAGTGTCGGCAAGCAGACAATTTTTTTGGAACGTGAACCTTCTCAGAATCTCAGATAAACAAACATGATCACTTACGTATCAGTCCTCGATAACAGCAAGCATTTATGTCACGGTGAAGCGGTATTTGGCATTCGTGCCGCTGTTTTCTTAGGCAATTATTTTTTTTGGAAAAATTCTACTAATGTTATTTAATTGAGACTTTATTGATTTTCTGGTTTTGATCAAAATCTCTAACATTAATTTATTAATGCAACCATGTTTATATATATAGGAAACATTTAAGGGAAGGGATCCTCATTTTTTTTAATAAAAATAAGGATTAGTTGTAGGGTTAACACCACATTGAACTTTAACGATCTGAACTGTCTATTTTTCAAATTACACCTCATAGATCATCTTTGCAAAATATTAGCAAAATCGGAAATATTTAAGGCATCTAATTGAGTTGAAAGAAATTAGCAAATACTTAGTTATATAAGAACAAAGATATTTTATCTTGATAATTAAAGAGGTAAATAGTTTCGAATTAAATTAAATTTTTGCAAGGATGATCTATGAATAGAGACCTACATAATAGACGGTTCGAATAGTTAAAGTTCGATGTAGAGTGAGCCCCACACCTAATCCCCATTTAAAAAAAAAATGGGGATCCATTTTGCATGAAGGGCCTGTATAAATAAATAAATATATATATATAGGGAATTGTTATTAACATTCTAAAAATCTCATTTGTCACTCCAAACTTTTTATATTTAAAAAGAAAAATACACTTGTGAGGAGTGTATAATGAGATTTTTAGAGTATTAATAACAGTTCCCTATACACACACACATTCCCTTTAAGGGAAAGGATTTCCAATTTTTTTCAAAAATGGGGACTATTTATGGGACCCACTCTCCATCAAACTTCAACGATCCAAATCATTTATTTTGTAAGTCTCGATTCATAAATCATCGTTGCAAAAATTCAATTCAATTCAAAACCATTTATTTATTTATTTATCACAATAAAATTTCATTGTTTGTTATAGAACAGAGTGTTCGTCAATTCAATTCAATCCGAAATTATTTGTCTATTTAATTATGACAATAAAATTTATTTGTTTCTTATAGAATAAAGTATTCGTCAAATCGAACCGTCTATGGTGACTTGTTAAGATTCTTTGTTTTTTATAAAGCAAGATTCTTTGATTTACCAAGTTTTAGCCTTGATGCTGCAGTTTACTGTCTGTGGAGGGAAAGAAAGAATAACGAAAACTTTAGGAGTGAATCTGAATGCCTATCCAGCAAGCAAGCTCATTTCTTTAGAGCGTTAACCTTCTCAAAATCTGAATACCTTTCTTGAGTTGAGGCTTCCTACCGGGAATTAATCCTTTCATTTGCGTGGCGGTTTGTTAAATTACAAATCTAAATCAATGATCATACCGCTAAAAATACACTGTAGATTCTTATGGGAAATAAACCCCGCAGCGGTGGCTGATATGAACTACAATTTAGTGATAACCTTAATGACTATTAGGGGTTTAATTCAGAATTATTAGGCTCAATTCCTGTTGTTTAGTGAAGTTTGTTATGCCCGTTGGCATTTAAGGTGTCTTGTTTTGTTTAAAATGAACTGAGCTCCCCCAAAATGTATCAGATCAGAATTTACAAAAGAAATCAAATACAAAAATATTGAGCTCGGCTCTTCTCTCTTCCTTCCCTTTCTTCTGTGTAATAGTTAAGGTTGAGCTAGGGTTGACAATTGGGTTCTATCAGGTGTATTCAAACTATAAAAATCTCGACTGTAGTCAAGATAATGCATAATACAAAATCATTGGATTTGTATGTTCGCCCGAACATCCTTTCATAAATTTGGGATAAATAATCATAACAAGGGCTCAAGTTGAACCGAAGCAAAAACATTTGTATCACCGCACGGGGCTCTTCTCCTGAATTGTCATTATTTTGTGTCTGCAAAACTGGGGCAGCACAGGCAACGCGCTAAACTCAATCATGTCCATCCAAAAACTTCTCTATCAGCACCAAACTTGCGGACCTGCTAGAACAGGACAACATAAGGAGGTATAAGAGTCTAATCTTAATAGGCACGAAAACAAATTATGCAGATAGTAGGACTATGATGAGCATAACACTAACAAGGCCGGTACTTGTCCGGTTTATGCTTCTTTCACCCATGTTATATCACATATCTTTTAGGGCAAGGTAGTGTTCCAACAATGGAAATTACCAACATTCTACACAAGTAGAGTCGCGGACTCTGGATTCTTGTTTTGATGTCGCATGAGAAATAAAACCAGAATCTGTGGCTGAATTCATTGAATTATAAAGGTATATGCAACCTCTTAATATTTGAAATTATCGTGATGTAATAACAAATACAACAAAGAATCAACCTATAATGCTTGTCTAACTACTAGAATCCCTTATAAATAAACATGATGGCTAATGAATGAATTCCTTGATTCAAAATGAATCCTTCGACAACAGAAGAATCCACGAGGATTCTTATTCAATCTCCAATTTGATAAACTAAACCAAATCTAATTATATTAAAGACACACAAACACGAAAATATAAACTCAAACACGAAAGTTGTGATGATTATATAAGCAAATAAAAACAGAATAGAAAATTAAAACTAAGATTAAATAAAAAAAAACGTTGGGCTTTTAAGGCAAGGGATGAAAGTCTAGGGATTCATAATCAACCACAAGCAATCTGGATTAGGTTTCAATGCATTCAATGTTGAAGTTGTTGGAATCTCCTAGCCGTTAGGGTTAGGATTCCTTGTTTTTAGGGTTTAGTTTTAGTCATGCAAATAATCTCTCCCATACTTGAGGGACAAGATTACATTTTCCGTTTCTAACCTAGTCATGCACCACAATCTTAGGCCTTGTTATCTCCTTGTAAATCGTGGGTTGTTATTTCCTTTCTTATCTCATTTTAAGGCTATTTAACAGCCACAAGTGTTATTCAATTCAAGAAGAATCCTCCCAGTTTTCTAGTGCAATCAAGTCTTAAGCTCACAAAAACTTTCTGCTATTTTCTTGGTTCTAAGATCTGGTATCAGAGCCCCACCATAGGGCTTGATCAAAGCCTGCAACAAAGTAACTAGCGTGAAGCAACAAAGATATGACATCTGAAAGCAGTTTCGTGCCACGTGCCATTCCGAGGTTTGATGGACACTATGATCACTGGAGCATGCTAATGGAAAACTTTCTACGTTCCAAAGAGTATTAGAACTTGGTGGAGACGGGAATCACTGCAGAAGCAGAAGGAGTTTATTCAAGCGAAGCACAAAAGAAAGTGATTGAAGATCAAAAGTTGAAAGATTTGAAGTGCAAGAACTACTTGTTTCAAGGCATTGATCATTCAATCTTGGAGACAATATTGAAGAAAGACACTACGAAAGACATCTGGGATTCTTTGAAGCAAAAATATCAAGGAACAGCACGTGTAAAACGTGCCCAACTGCAGGCTCTTCGAAAAGAATTTGAAGTGATGCACATGAAGGCTGGATAATTGATCAATAACTATTTTGGAAGAACTCTCATCATTGCTAATAAGATGAAGATTCATGGAAAGCACATGGAGGATGTGGTGATCATTGAGAAGATCTTGAGGTCTATGATTCCGAAATATGACTATGTTGTATGTTCTATTGAGGAATCAAATGACTTGGATACTTTTTCCATAGATGAGCTTCAAAGTAGCCTTTTGGTGCATGAACAAAGATTTAGCCGCCGCCATGTTGTAGTGGAAGAACAAGCGCTACAAATCACTTTAGGAGCCCAACAAGGAGGACGAGGTGGAGGTCGAAGTACCTATCGTGGAAGAGGAAGAGGAAGGGGCCGATTTGGGTTTGACAAATCAACCCTAGAATGTTATGCATTTTCAATGGGAGTGCCCAAAGAAAGCAAGGGATCAAAAGGCAAACTATGCCGAGACAAAAGAAAAGATGATGTTGATTTTTAGGAAGCTGAAACTGAGCACATTTGGTTCCTTGATTTTGGGTGCAAAAGGGATATATTTATTGACTTTGATAGCATTTTCAAAGAATCAGTAAAGTTGGGAAATGAATCAAGTCTTATTGTACAAGGCAAAGGCACGGTTCCAGTAAAGGTGAATGGAATAGTTCACGTAATCATGGAATAGTTCACGTAATCACGGGTGTTTTCTTTGTACTAGAACTGAAGAACAATCTGTTAAGCATTGGGCAGCTGCAAGAAAAGGGACTCGTTGTGCTTATTTAACAAGGAAAATGTAAGATCTTTCATCCTGAGAAAGGTCTAATCATTGAAACTTAGATGACTCAAAATAGAATGTTTGTTATGCTAGCTCATTGCCCACCACCAAGAGAGACAAAATGTATCTCCTCTCTGACCACAGATCAGGTCACTCTTTGGCATCGTCGATATGGACACCTCAGCTAGAATGGACTCAAAGTACTCCAACAACAGAAGATGGTGGAAGGGTTATCGCAGTTCAAAGCCATTCAACGAGTATGTGAAGGTTGTTTGGTAGGAAGACAGCACCATGATCCATTCCCAAAGGAAAGCATATGGAGGGCTTCCAAAAGTCTTCAGTTGGTACATACTGACATATATGGTCTGATCAATCCAATTTTGAATAGCAACAAATGGTATTTAATTACCTTTATTGACGATTTCAGTAAAAAAAACCTGGGTTTATTTTTTGATAGAAAAGTCAGAAGCCTTTGCTACTTTCAAAGCCTACAAAGCTAGGGTGGAGAAGGAAACCGAAGCATTCATTCGAAGTCTAAAAACAGATTGAGGGGGTGAGTTCACATCACAAG